AAAAGAAAAAGTTTTGAGTCACCACGAAGGATCGAACGTGAGACCCTTTGAAGTGCCCCTGAGACGAAAATTGACTATTTTATTTTGGGCTAGTTTTTTTACAGAATGTTGAATTGGGTCAAGTTAAAACCTTTTTTGCCATTAAAAACTAAAAAGCAAACTTTCAATGACCAATTTTTACCGCTTCAAAGTCCTCCAAAAATCGTCCGCTATTGCTGAAAACATGTTCCAGCCGAGCCCGCAATTTTACAGCAGAAAACGTCATCATGACGTCAAAGGCTCAACAAACTTGTGCTTTCCTTTGTCACAACTCTCTTTGTTCGCTGCAAAGAGAATCACACACAGTACTTTTTTGAAAACTGTTTCGTTGTCAGACGTGAAATGTCGCCTTTGTCTAAAGATGAATTGTCCCAGAAATCCTCTGAAGCTTTTTGTTGATAGTTTTGCCCAGGCAAACGATGAATTTTTGCCATGCGAATAAAGATAAATCCAGAACGGTACGGACTCCCCATGTGACTTTTGTGGTCGCATCGCTTTATTGCCTTCCAATTGTATTTTTGCTTGTCGTAAGGGATTTTCCTTTTTTTGTAAGAAATGATCGAGGGATATATAAAAATTGTTTTCGGTAATAACTGATTGTGTATCAAGGCGGATATTGGGAGTTTGTGAAAGCCATTTCTAAGCCATTAATGTGTTTGCACCGATGCATTTGGTCAATGATCTCATTCACCGTTTTCCTGCGTGCTTTTTACTATCGGTGCTTTGAGAGGTTTGAAGTGAACTCTGCTGTTAAGTTGCACTTTGGCTTCCTTTGTTTTTTTCAGTCTTATTCGTGATGGCTATTGTTGTGTTACTACGGTGAGGTTTAAAGCAGAGGTTGCTTCGACTCTTTTAGAGCCGTGACCTCATTGCGTTACAAAGTATTTTTTCGCTTAGATGCAGTCTACAAGTTGCGTTATGACAATTTTCCAAGTAGCTCTGAAGTGCGATAGAAGACTGAACGGGTGGCTTTCAGTTTGATATGAAACAGAAGTGGTTCTTTGTTTTGTCCGTGAAAGGTGTAACGGAGGCGCATTCGTCTTGCGAAAAAATCTCTCAATCAAAAGTTTGCCTGATTTCACATTCGGTTGTCACGGGTGTTGGGATAAATTTGAGACCCTTTGATAGCACACTGACTTGGCTGTCAGATGGTTGATAGTTAGAGAGATTTTGAAAGAAATTTTCATTTTCTCGGTTTTTTGGCTGCAGCATATATTTTAAAGTGTTTCTACGCTCTGTGTGTCTTAAAATGTTTGTTCTACTTTCGCTGATCGATATTAAAGCCAGCTTTTTTAGAGTCAGAGCACACAATTATATTTTTCATCTCTTTTGTATAAAAGTGATGAGCTCTTTGAGGTCAGAAATCTCATTCCTCAATTCGGCTATTTTATCACTCTCATTTACAATGATCACCGAGTGGTTTCCTCTGTGTAAGGTATTCTGCCATAGAGTTGTTAAAGGTGGATATTGATCAGCGCATATGTAAAGGTGACAAAACCCGTGGAGGTTCGTAGACTTCGCTTTCGTCGAGATCGCACTGAGGACGGTTTTTCCTGTCCCTTCTTTTGAACGGTAGGCACTGAACCCGACAGAATTCTTCGCCTAGATCCTTCAAAGTACACACCTCTCTCGAAACATTCCTCCGAGAAGTGTTCGGAGTAGATCAAAAACATTCCTGCAGGATTGAAGTTTGCTCGGCGAGTTCGCACAAATCGCATCGGTTTTCCCGCTCTGATCGATTTGCCAGGCTCCGATGCAGAGAAATAGCTACAGCATGGTCTGCACGATTACTTCAGCTTTGAATTACGCATCGATGCCTCGTCATTTTTGTTTAGTTTCAGTAAGAATAGAGTAAACCACTCTGTTATGTTTGCTTGACATTTTGCCAAGCGAGGTTTTCGCGTTGAGCCTTTGACGTCACTTCCTCTGAGTCCTGCGATAAACTTCCTCAACATAGTCAAATAATGGCGGACGCGAAATCGCAAATTTAACGGCCAGAAAAAATATATTTGTGGTGCTCGGTCTAGACTGAAATTTGGCAGAGTTGGTGAAGGAGTCATACTGAACACAAAAATGAAAAAAAATTATGTACGAAAATTTTGATCTCAGAGGCACTTTAAGTGTAAACAAATTCAGTTCAGTACATTTCCGGGTACGGCGTCACGCAATCTATCCTAATCGCGTAAGAGCTACACGTAGGCTATACAGAAACGCTTTGTTATCTTGATCGAAACCTAATCTATTACCGTCTTATTGATTTCATAATGTAAATTAAAAGCTAAATTTATAATGTCTTAGATGAAAAAGATCGCGCAGTCTTACGTTCCTATGAAAAAACGTATACTGCCAAACAGTTCGACCTCTACTGTCTACGACGCTATACAACTTTTCTCTCGTAAAAGACTCTTAAAACGACAAGAAACTCCTCTTTCAGCGTTTTTAACGACTTAGATTTACACCTTTAAATTTTCAGTTCCGTTCTAACGTTTCATTTTAAGTTTGCACCATTTTACTAAAATGTATGTTTCCCACTTTATCCTTCTGTGGAAGGGGGCGTCTCAAAGGTAAACATTGATCGAGTGATCATTGCCAATATGGCGTTACACAAGATTTTCAATACGGCGGGCAAGATTGATGTTCGTTGACTTCTGCGGATTTGGAATTTTAAACGATTTGGATGGTTTGATTACTGCCTCTTGAGAAACTTAAGATTCACATAGTATCAAAGGGTCTTTTTTAGCAGCTTGAATGAGGATATGTGGTTCACAAGTTTCATATTTCGAATGAAAACATGATACTGAGTGGGAGATGACAAAACGCGGAGTCCAGCTCAATGGAGTACCCTCTGAAGTATCTATATGGAATATCCCTAAAATTATGTATCGGTCAAATAAAATACTTTATAAACATTGTGAATCGTTTAGATGTACATGTCTTAATATATTTTTGCTACAAAATAATTATCAGGGCTCGACATTAACGGTGGCTAATTAGCCACTGTCTAGCAGAAATTCAGTTTTGGCTAGCGGTTTTAGATTTCCACTAGCCACTTAGCTAGTAAGTATACAAAGCACTATAGTTATATTTTTCATTATTTGAGCAAATAATATACAGTCAAGCAAATAAAAAGCCAACAATCAAAAAACAAACAAACAGATTAAGACACAAGTCAACACTCTTTGGCCTTTAGAGATCAACAAATGAATACAAGCCAATACCCTTTTTTGTTACCAGAATAAGATACAAGTGAAGACTCTTTAGCTATCAAAAATTAACGTTACAATACCCTTTTGTGTCACTAGATTAAGACACAACTCACTATAAACCTTTCAGAAATAAACAATTCAAGCCAATATCATTTCGGTCTCCAGATTAACCCTTTCATTTCAGAAGTGATTAACATGTAACTTCTCCATGTAACTTCTCCCTATCATATCCATACATGATCCAGCAAACAGCTAATAAGAATACTCAAACTACACTACTCAAGTAGATGTTGTTATCCTGATCTAACACCAAATTCTCATTAATAATTTACAAGGAAGTGTTTAGTAGCCAAAGGGAAGAATCAACAAACACATCTTGGGAGTTAAATGGTTAAGACACAAGTCAACAACACCCTGGCTATAACAGCAATTTACAATACAAGCCTGAAAAAATTAATCACAGGAGAACAAAGAGGGTTTAAAGTAAAGGGTCACAAGCGAAAAAGATAAACACAAGGTAGCAAGCTAAATAACTAGAATCTTTGGCTCTAAACAAGGTCTTTACAACACTAGAACACGAGATAAGTTGCAATCGTGACTAGATTCCCCCTATTTATTACAAAGACAACTTCAAACTTAAAAGGATTGATGAGCAAAATGACAAATCACATTTATTTCAAATAGCAGTAAATGAAGCTTCGAAATATTTTAAATACAACTGGAAGAAGTCGGAAATCTTATTAAATAGCCTCCGCTGATAACAATATAGTGTCCATCGCTTTCCAAGGGTTTTTCCCTCTCAGATCGCCTGCGTGGATGGCGCGCTGGAGCGGGTAGGTTATTGCTTATTGGGGCTTGGAGCCTGCTTTCGAAGGTCCCGATAGTAACAGGCCCGTAAAGATCTTCTGTTTTCTTTTAAGATGGTGGTAACAAAATTTTTGAAAACTTTACAGTAAAACCATCAGTTAAAGAAACAAAATTGACTGGTGAGGATGAATGACCCAACTTCACTAATCTTTAAATTTTAATTCCAAAATATGGCTTCGTGCCCGTTAGGTTACCGGGAATTTCGAAAAACGGGCCCCAGCTGAGCCGCTATGCCAACAAACTGCTCTTCAATAGCATATTTCCCTCGCATGGTACATCTGCGCCTGTTTGCGAAAAAGCAGAATGATGTAACAATCACATTTTCCACAGCCTTAAAGATATGGCCAAGCAAATGCAAGACACATTTTAAAAAGCTAACGAAGATCCAAAAATTGTTTCAAAAAACAAAACAAAACACAAAAGAGCATGAAAAGTCGGTGTTGTATTCAAAGACCGTTGATCATTGTGTCTAGGGTTTGGTGGAGCTGTGGCAGAACAGTAAAAGGGGAAAGGCAGTCGCATCAGGTCAGTTTCGAGTTTTTTTCTTTTCAGTTATGCAGATGACGCAATTTTTTTCCCTTTTCTTTCAAAACAAAAAAGAAGAAGAAACAGTCAGATCAGCGATGAGGGGTTAGTGCTGTCCTGAAAAAACTAAATTCAGTAGCTAAATTCATTTTCGCCTATGACAGCTATCAGAATAGCTATCAAATAAATATACATAAAACCGCTTCTCACATTGTATTACTAAATTAACAACCATTAATGCTTTAATTCAAACTTATTTCACAATCAAAATCAGCCAGAAAATTTATACTCATGTCTATTATTTGCTCGTAATTTTTTTTATTTCAATCCCTTAAATGCCGTTTTTTAATTATTTATTTATTCATTTTTGCGTATCTAGATGGAAAACTAGAGATATGTAACCAGTTATCATCTGTAACTGAGATATAGACGTATAGTTAGTTTAGTTGATAGTTAGTTTATGGCCTCCTGCTACTTTCATATCTGCTGTTATCGCTACAGCATACTGCTTTTTCAATTGCTGCAGCCACCACTACTATTTTATTATCACTGCTGCTTCCAGTACCACTAATTATCTTTTGTAATATTTTGTAATTACAAAGATTTTGAGATTTTACTCAAACTTATTTCACACTCAAAACCAACCAAGCAATTATACTAGTATCTATTATTTGCTCGTAAAATTCTTTTTTTCAGTCGCTTAAACGACTTTTTCATCCTATATTTTTTTACGTATGCATACGGGCAACTAGAGGAATGTTATCAGTTATCATCTGTACCTGAGATAAAGACTTATAGTCAGGTTAGTTAAAAGATAGTTGAAGGCCTCTTGCTACTGTTATTTTGACGGTTATTGCTACAGCATGATGCTTTTTCAACTGCCACAACCACTGCTACTGTTACTGTCATTGTAACCGCTACCTCCAGAGCTACTAATAATCGTACATAATATTTCGCGACATACTAGGTTTATGTAAGAGGTGTAGTCTCGTAGTGACACTGACGTTGGGATGCTTTTTTTCTCTGCTTGTTACTGACTGATATGGTTAACTACACTTTCAACTCCGTCAGTAAGCTTGAATCAAAGCTTCCCTTTACCACAGAGTATAAGGGTAATGGTTTGTGTTACTGACTGATATAGATATTGACACTATCGACCCCGTCATTAAGCTTGTAAAAAAAAGCTTCTCTTTACTACAGAGTATACAAGTAAAGGTTTGTGTTGATGACTGACATGGTTAGTGACACTATCGACTCCGTTAGTAAGTTTGTAAAAAAAATGCTTCTCTTTACCACTGAGTATATGGGTAAAGATATGCTACAACGGATAACCAAGCAATTATCTCAGGATCATAATCTCTTAGTGAACTTTCTTTTAAAAACTTGTTGTCAGATATAAAATGTTCTCAAATTCTCCTAGCCAGCTCGAAATCCATGCCAGCGTTTGATCTCCCCGTCGTGTGTTTTGATGAAGATGTCCTCGATTTGCAAAGACATTTTCTGATTACCAGTGCTGCGATCAATAGCAGCAGTACTCCTCCACCAGCAGAACCACCAATAACTGCATAATTTGGACCTTCCTGGGGAACTGCTCCTGCCTCCGTTGGTACATTCGAAGTAATAGCCCCTTCTTTCAAAATGAGAGAATAAAAAATATGTTTCAAGCTTGTACTCAACTAAAAAATAGATTAATGAGTCCGGTTTTGAAGGTATATTTTTGAAAAACACGCACGGCTAATTTCTCCTTTTATTTATTCGCTTGAAGCCAGGATTTGGATCAATCAGATAAGCGAAGTGCTGGTTTTCATACCAAAGTATGTTTTATTCCTTAATGAATTGTTGCTACGCTATTATAATACACATGTTAAAATAATGAAACCTTTTCACGATTTTGCATTAGCGAGTATTAACTTTTTTTAACTTTGGATGTACATAACGTTTACATGGATAATTTCAATCTCTCCCAGACATTGCTAGAATATTTTTATGATTCAGATTCAATGACAGAATCGAATTTATTTACAAATGGAAACAAACTCACTTGTAAACGTTGTACTCTCAGGCAACGTAAATGTACTATGGGTTGACGAGGCTTCAGATTTTCTGTTTGTGAAGGGATTGGTAGATCTGGTCAAAGGCTTTGTCGTCGGAGAGACCCCGACTTTAACTGTCAAACTGGTGTCTGTCGTGCAGGAAACGTCCCCGTTGTCACTGGCACTAACTGTGAGATGATAAACTTTCTTCGTCAGGTCGGACACCACCGTGACCACACCCGTTTTAGTATGAATAGAGAACGCGTCATTTTTCGATAGGCTGTAAGTTATGTCGCTGTTTACTCCACTGTCCAAGTCAACTGCAGAAACTTTGGTCACGGTTTCTCCGGGAATAAGAGCCAAAAATTCTAGTTTTAGATCTCCTGGTGGCTCGATGAAGGTTGGACAATTGTCATTTTCATCCAGCAATGTTAAATGTACAGTGGCGATTCCAGATTTCTGGGGATATCCGTTATCTGCTGCAACCATTGTCACGTTGAAAGATTTCACTTCATTTGTCTCAAAATCCAGCGTCTGTGCGCTGTAAACCTTTCCAGACTGTCCACCAACAGTGAGAATACTTTCAATGCTATCATCACCCAGTATGGTATAAAATATCTGACCGTTTCTACCCGAATCTGTGTCATTGGCTTTTACTTGTAAAATCACTGTTCCGACGGGAGAATTCTCTACAATTGCAGCGCTGTAAAACTTTTTGTCAAATCTTGGAGGATTGATGTTTGGTTTTGCCTTCTGATCGCAATATGCACCGTCAAACGCTGGATAACACGAACAAATGTTGGGTAGGATGCAATCTCCTTGGCCAGAGCAGTTTTTTACAGCACTGCAATCAGGAACGCTGCATGCTCGACCCGACCAGGAGGAGTTGCAGAGGCAGATGTCGTAGCCAACACATTTTCCATTTCCTGCGGCGCAAAATGAGAACACCGTTTGTTAGCCTCGTTAAACCGCATTGATTTATTTTAGAAGCTAAAAAATAACTCGGGAGTGAAAGTTGTCGAGGAGATCGCCAAGATCAATATCATAGAGATAGGATTGAGGACCACCCAAAGGCATTGATATTCTTTGTGACCATTTTTTTTTCGGACCGAGGGAGGTAAATAATTTTCATTTGTTGCTAACAATAATGATATTCTTCTCGTTAGTACGATGTATCCATATGAGCAGCGACATGGGAAAAGATTGGTGACGAAACAATATTGAACTTTAAAACGATGTACTTACCGGAGCAATAGTTGACAGCCTCACAAGAAAAGTTACTGCAGTCAGCTCCAATGTATCCAGAGTCACATTTACAGAACTCGGCTTCCACGCATGCGCCATGGGCAGAACAGTTGTTCACGGTTGTGCAAGTGGGCTGACTGCAGTTATCGCCAGTGAAACCAAGGTAGCAACTGCATGAGACATTAAGCAACTCCGTGGAAACGCAAACGCCTTGGCCGCTGCAGTTTGCAAGATGACTACAGTCCGCCACCTGTCCCCAATCCGCTCCAACAAAACCCGGAAGACAACGACACTTGTCGCTAGAGATGCACTCTCCGTTTTTTGAACATTGATTGACAGCTTCACAGTCAGGAAGAGCGCAGCTTACTCCGGTCCAGCCATAACTACAGGAGCATTTTGCAAAGTCCACACAGCTACCGTGTTCTTGAAAACATTAAGGTGGGGAGAAAAGGACAGAAAAAAATGGTAGTATAGTTAAACCAGAGAGAAGTAATAAAGGTAAAACGCGAAAGATGAAGGAAAGAAAAAAGGATGGAGGGATGGAAGGAAGGAACGACGAAAAAGATATATCTTTTCAGGGATCATAAGCGTGTCTTTCCCAAGATTACTTACCTGAGCAATAATCCAATTGTTCACACGAGTACTGGGTGCAGTTGGTTCCAGTCCATCCTGTAGTACATTTACACACATCGAAATCCACACAGATTCCATTCCCAGTACAATTTGATACATTGTAACAAGTTGGAACAATACCGCAGTCATCACCTGAGAATACGAGAAATGTACCTATTTTTAGAACAAATACTATTGCAAGTAGTACAGCAAATTACCAGTCTACTTCTCAACTAATACAACCAGACTTTTTAACATAAATTTCGCCGTCAATTGTTCATTTTGAACAGCTCACTGGTGGCTGATTGCTAGCTGTTTGGTAAACCTATACAGGCATTCACTGTGCAGGGACTAGCCAAAAGTTGGGTGAGCTAGAGAAAATGGGGGGCGGGGGTAGGGTGCCGAGGAGAGGGAAGGAAGTATTCTGTTCCTCATCACTCCTCCTCAGACCCCCACCGATTTTTTTCTCGTCCTCTCTTTCATTAATCTCCACTGACCAAGAACATACGATATCACTAGTTACAATTAATCTAATCAATTTTTTTTCCTATTAATCAAACACGCGTTATGATAACAACAACAACAATAGCCATACAAATATTTAGGTAACTGACCTATATAACCAGGATTACACTGGCAAATGTCCGTTGTTTTACAACTCCCGTGTTTAGGGCTAGTACAGTTGTTGACTCCCAAGCAAGTGGCTGTAAATCACAATAAATTCAAAACGTTAGTATCACAGGATGGCATAACGGCAAACCTTTTTCGTCTTTTGTCAACAGCGGGCGCAACTTTTGACAACTAACGACCGTGTTCAACTTCCAGAGGTAGGAGAAAACGACAGCGGCCACCCTTCATTATTTTTTAATAGTTTGAAACACGATGTCAGTTGAAAAATAGAATCACTTTTCCTGAGGAAAAGAGAAAATCCGAGCAGCAAAGCTAACCATAAAAGTTTGATGTCACTAGCAAGCGATATTGGTTGCGTGGCTCCTTTACACAGTCTTCGGAGACGTGTAGAAAGCAGCTACAAAAGAGCTGCCAGTCGTGCAATTGATATACAATATATGATTAAAACGGGAGATAAACGGCATTAGCTTTTCGTTAATCCTGATTACAACCTTGCACTTCACAGCTTCGTCCTTCCCAGCCCAGTTCACAGACACAAAATCCTTTCACGCACTTTCCATGGATGGTTGAACAGTTAAGACAGGAGCCTGGGAAAAATAGAAAAGTACGATGACAAAGTTCACGATGAACTTATTTATTTGAGGCATCAGATCTCTTTACACAACCATCGCAACATATAGACGCTCTTAAAATAATGTGGTGTATAATTTTAAGAGCGTCTGTATGTGTTACGATGTTTGTGCAAAGAGATATGATGCCTCAATTAAATAACCCAATTGTTCTAGTTAATAAAGTCTCACTGTGACAACCCTCCACCCTTCAAAAAAAAAAACAATGAAAGAAAGAAAGAAAAACGAGAACAAAAAGTAAAAAATTAACTTCGTTACTAGCAAACGAAAAAGTAAGCAAACAAACAAACACACTCACCGAAATAGGAAAGAAAACAAAGCAGTACGGACCTTTGGATGAAATGAATTGTTTCATACACAATACGGGAAAAGGATTTCTTTCAGAGAGCCCGAATTCGAACAAATAGGTCCACCATTCCTTCCTGTCTAGATAACACCTGTTGACAAGCTTTGAGGGAATCGATCAATACCTCTATCACAACTCTTCCCTGTCCACCCTTCGATACATTGACATGTTCCATTGATACATCTTCCTTTGCCTGAACATTGGTCCGGACAGTCTGAAGTGAAAATAAGGAATTTTCGAATGCGTTATTGCAAGCACCACAGAGCTAAAAGACAGTTGAATCCAATATCATCTACGGAGAATTAGATCTCACGAAGCCAGCATTTTATAATTCCAACATTTTTATATTGTTTTTTGCGCCTTCTCATTTACAAGCTCTCATACTTTCAGAATATTTTATGAAATGCAACTTCTTATCGATGACATTATTCTTAATTATTCTAGTTATTGAAAGTTTTATCTGAATGATGACAAATTGGAAAACCGTATGTCCTTCACACTCTAAAGACAAATGAACTTGTATCTTTAAACTTGTGAGACCTCGTTACAAAGTACTATATGGACGTTACGAAAGCTTACCTCGTTTAAAGATTTCCTGATCAGTGAACGTCGTGTCGTTGGTCATGGCGACTTCAAATATGCAGCTTTGTAGATCGTTATCAGAAATGTTCAAGGATTTGCACATGCTTGTCGCAATCTACGTTGTAAGCAAAGCACTTTTATCCAAAATGATTGGCAACGTATCCCTTGTCATTTTAAGAAATTTCATGGAAAACACTTTGGTTCTCAAAAATAGTGCCTGGAGTGCTTAGTTCAAATTTAGGTGACGGTGGGCACAAATCTAAAGGGGACTCTAACCACCAAATGTGTCAGTTTCCCTGTTTTTTATTTGTGCTTTTGTTTGTTTCTTTGTTTGTTTTCTTAATACGACCTCTTGGCAACAGCGATACTGTACAACAGGGTTGGTCAAAGAATTAAGTTTGTTTTTCTATCTTTCTGCAATCGAGTTTCCCCTTTTTGATAATGACAAAATAAACGCGTGGAGTCCAATTCGGTCTGCGATAATATGGGTGAGAAACAAGCAATTGAAGCGTTCTGTCCAATCAGAAATTTAAGAGGCTTAGACTACCCTGTTACACTGTACAACTACAAGCAATGCAGCAATACTGTTGATGCTCAAATCTGACAGCTAATAATCAATCACGTGAGTGACGCACAAACAACTCGTAACCTGTAATAGAGGCTGGGAAATTCCGTCCAGGGAATACTTAGGGATGTAGGATGGATCTGTATACGTTATGTCCATAATGTCATCGTAATAAAAGTTCGATGAGTTCCATGACCAGGCGTCTCTTGTGCCTGAGCCATCGTGACAATCCGTTATCCGCCCTGTAAAAGGAAAAGAACAGAGTTTTCAGTAAATGGGTCGGTATGGCTCTAAAATTCACGTTTTGCTTAGCATGCTTGAAATTTAGTTTTCATCAAGTTATCTCTTTCTTTTGGCAGCCAAAGACTACCCCATTTATCGCATTTAAAACATCAGAGAGAAGGTTAGACAGTACAGATACCTTCAATTAATACAGTAACTTTTACATCATTTTTTCGTCCTTATTTATTAAAAGTTAAGGGGTCTATCTACACCTTCAAACTCCCTCAGTAGCTAGGCGCCCTTTGATTGCTTAATGTAACGGTTGCAATCTATTCCTAATTATTTCTGTTGTTCAAATCTCCCTTTCTTTTTCAAAAACTGCTCTTTACTTTGGAGGGAAAACTGGACTTTTAACCGTTTTTTTCTTTTTGGTGTGAGCTAGAAAATTCCAAAGGGCAAAATAACTTATTTTGCTTTCAGCTTTCGTCAGTTATCTGCAGTTGTCCGACTTGACCAGGGAACGTTTTTCGAACCCACCCAATACACAGTAGAGATATGATAAATACGTCACTAACAACGTCTTTTCAATAAGTACTGTAAGTTAAAGATCATTATAATTTTACCCTCCGGTCTGTAACCGATTGTACGGACTTATAAGACGAGGTTAGTAAAGTTTATTTACCTCAAAGTTTCATTCTATTTTAAGGCTATTTTCTGTAACAACAAAAGCTTTTGATTAAATATCCTTGCGTAACTTCTAACTTGCACATTTTTAGAAGCTCTGCTTACACGATTCAGCGAATTGAATGGCGTTATAGTAAAGAGTTGCGTCGGGTCCTCTAAAGTCGTTAGTGGCATTGTTATCCATGAAGCCACAGAGTCCCTCCGTATGACCTTTGTAAGCAGCAGTTGGGGAATAGAGAATATTCAAATACTGTCTCTTCATCACTCGACTATGACGGACGTCGATGGTTACTGTTACACCTGGGGGAAGTAAAATGTTCGACTTTAGACGCAACAAAATGTAGCGGGGCTGGAGTGCCGCGGTAACGAGGGCTTCATTCCCTAACCTTTGTGGCAGGAGTTCGACTTCCGTTTTGTTAAGCCAGCGACCGGTTCGTTAATTCATAGTTAGTTTCGCCAGCCTCTTAGGCATTGAATAGCTCTTTTTCAGTTTGTACACCTCATAGAAGACAAACCCTTGATAAAATTAAGTTTCCGCACTAGCTCCAAAGATTTTCTTGGGTTTGAATTTACCGTTTTCTTTCCTTCTTTAGTAACAACGCAAAAAAAAAAAAAGAAAAAAAAAGAAACAGAAACAAACGACACCGACAAAACCAAAACTGCTGTAAAATTTGGCCGAACATAGTGTGTGAAGAGCAAGCCTTAGAATGTTATTGCATAAATTCATATATTTGGGTGTGTTCGCGGGTAAATGTGAGAAATATCTGTGCGGAACTATAAAGATTGTTTGATGAAAGACAGAAGTCAGACTCGCCAGCATCCACACCTCCTGTGTTCATGAAGGAGCAGAAAGGAAAATATGTTATGATTTACAGTCTTGCCTGCATCATACTGAAGAGAAATCAAAACAACGCTGTTCTCTTCAGCCTCAAACGAAAAACGTCTTTGACGATCCATTAACACTGTACCATTACTTATTTCAATAGGCTCTGATGAATTAGTGGTGGCATTGATTTCTCTTCCATCGATTCTGTAGAGAAATTAAGGTCAGTCACAAGAAGTTACTGACTGAAACTGGTTCGACCAAGGAGAAATGTGTCTCTTTATCAAAAGCAGTGAGTCAACAACGCAAAACTGTATTGGAACAAACAAGTACCTTGAACAACCATACCGAACCAGACAACAACAAAAACAACAACAACAGCAACAACAACAGCAACAACAACAACAACAACAACAACAGCTTTATTACCAAAAATAAAAGTTAAACTTAATTCACAACGTAATCTAGTAATACAGGAGACTGAGGCAACATTCACAACGTAACAACAACAACAACAACAACAGCAACAACAACAACAACAACAACAACAACAACAGCTTTATTACCAAAAATAAAAGTTAAACTTAATTCACAACGTAATCTAGTAATACAGGAGACTGAGGCAACATTCACAACGTAACAACAACAACAACAACAACAGCAACAACA